TCGATTCTATCTAGGTCATTAGTCGGTTTAGTCCTATTTTCTAAAAGTTGATAATTTATGTGAAATTTATTATCCTTAATTAGCATCATATCCAAATTATCTTGATATATATTTTTAATATATAATATAAGTGTTATATAATTCTAACTTTCAATTATTAGATTTTTAGAGAGAGAGAGAGAGAGAGAGAGAGAGAGAATGCACTTTTATTTTTTGGTACATGACAAATGATATAATTATTTATATTAGAAGAGACAAATTTGACAACTGTGGCCTAAGAAATGAGAGAAATTTCAAGCTGCAATGTGAACAATGTCTCCATCATTTTATTAATAAAAGGAAACAATATTAAAGTAGAAATATGGGGATCCTGATTTCATGGGATCATTCATTATTAAATCACAAAATACCCCACATTTTAATTTGGCAATGAAAGTCTTGTTTACCAACAAAAATCTCTCTTTGAATAATAAAAAAATCCGCTAGCATTAAATAGCAAGATTCGATTTTATTATTAGACCGAATCGATTGGATGATTGATTCATTAGCATATTTTCAAAAATTTAGGTCTTCATCAATCTTTCTATCATTCAGTATTTTCTGATTGATTGGAGGACCGAAATATCATCAATTAAAGGGCATCAATGGAATGCCTACTTCTATGAAAGCTTTCCTCTGCTTAGGGGGTTAGGCATTCGTTTGTGATAGTTTTCTTATTGTTTTTTAAAGCTACTTTTTAGCATAAAAATCTTTTTAAAGCATGAAAAGAATTATAATATAAAATTATTCCAAACAAAGCCTTAACCTTTTCGTTCCGGTTTAAAAGATATACAAGCTATCATTCTATAATTAGGTTCTTGTTATAACCAAAGCAAGTCCACATGACTAATTCTAATGAGTTTGTTTCCAATGGACCTTTCACAATGAGCTTGTAAGTTATATCATATGTATCCTATCCTCTACAGTGTATGCCAACTGATTGAAATATGTAGCTTTCATAATATAAGAAAATAGATTTCTAATATCATGTATGTTGGGAGTAAACAAAATCATAACAAACAAGATAAAAATGAAAATGGAGAAAAAAAAAAATAAAAAAATGAGGAAAAACTACGGAGCCTCATAACACCATGAAATCTATTAGAAAAATGAGAGAAATTTTTCTTTCCTGCAACCATCCAACGAGCTTCTCATCAAGTTCAGCCAATAGAATTGAGACCAGAGTCAACAATATAACTTGATTAATCGTCATAATTATATTTCACAAAAAAAAAGAACATAATGATTTAAAAATTATAGTGCATAAAGGGATAATAATTAAGGACATTAAGGTTAATTGATATGACATTATGAAACTTCACCCCATGTCATATTTTGAGTGTTTGGACTTTTGATATAAGTTTTTATTGTAATGAAACAATAAAATAGGTTAAATAAAATTAATAAACCTAATAAGTATTTAATTAAATTAATAAATTTCGGGCAGCTCTTGGACGCGACCAAACCTATCCGACGGAAGAGGGAACAAAATGAGAAGAAAGACGACAAAGGGGTCGAAATTTGGCTCTTTTGTTAAATTTTTCGGTGGAGTAGCTGTCGGTCATATTACCGGTAGATAATACGTCGGTAACTATTTGTCAAGTTTAAGTAAGCCGGCGCAATGTTAGTCGGTAATTCCGCCGGTAATAATCGGCGAAAATTGAGTCAGAAAAATTTTAAATATCAGCGAAAATCCAGTGGAATATGCGCTGGTGTTCTAACAGTTAAGTTACCGACGTATATTCCACCGTTTTTCTGGCATATGTGTATCCGCCGGAACGTCCGACGGTAATGACATATTTTTCTATAGTGTCATTAATTTTATGATAAAAATTAAAATATGAAGTATTATTGATACGTCCTCAAAAATTGCCTTGATCGAGCACGAATCTCGAGGCATATTCAAATTGGAATTTTTTCAGGAGACTTACAATCAAATCGAACATCTCAAAGGGACGAACCGAACAACACCGAAATTGGTCCAACCCAAGCCCAAATGGGTCCAAATCGGGGGCCCAGACCACATTTGGAAGGGTTAAAGCTTTATTTGGATTATGAAATGATATCCCAATATGGCATGCTTATAATCAAATCGAGCGTCTCGGCGAGACGAATCCAACGAGCCCAAGATCTCTGAATTCCGACACTGTTAAGTCACTTAAACAGTTAAAAAACTCTCTACGATCGGGGGAATCAATACGAGCCATCCGATGGAGCACTCTGAACCTACCCCGGATCTTCTCTAGATTTACGGGATGCGCCACTCATGAAAATCTATAAATAGACCCCCACTCTCTACATGAGGGGGACCTTTGGCTTGAGATTGAAGAGAGCTCTGAAGCTTCAAGAGCTCTAGCACCACCGCCGCCGGCCGCCGGACCACCGCCGGGCCGCCGCCTGCCGCTTGTCGCCGGACCACC